ATAAGGTGCTAAACTTTCATTTCACAAATTACAAAATTTACTCTATGCTGCAATTAAATTTTAAAAGCGATATGGCCTCATTCTTTGACCGTCACATCCCATTTATTTTTTATTTGAGTAAATAAAGATATTCTTACTCTCTGAAAAGGTTAATTTAACAGGAAATGTCAAAAGTATTTCGTATTTTTTTTTTTAGAACCTGTGCTGAATATTTATTTTTTTTATTATTTAATTTATTTATATCGAAATTATATTTAAAAAATTTAACTTTACTTTAAAGAAAAATATAACAATGAATTCGGAGAGAGAAGCTTCTCAGTTAAAGGGAAATGGTTCGGAAGTAGGGGAACCATCCCTCATTCCACAAGTGATTTCTTGCAGAAAGTCAGGGCTGGGAGGGAGCAGATGGGGATAATGGCGGAAGACTATTATTTTGGAGTCATTGGGGATCCCCCATCATCACATATACTAACCTTTGGTTACGCTTGTTCGTTTCTGTACACTGATCTTTTGGCATATTTGCTTTGTTCAAATGGTCCCAACTAGCTCTTTTGTTCTGGTTTAAAATAATATCTCTTGGACTGTGTGATTTAGCAACTCTACACACGCACCCATGCAATGTTATTGTAGTTCTCTCTTATAGATATATATTCTCCATATATACTACTAGTAGAAAATAAGGTTTTTGGACAGAAGTGATATCTAGTATTATTTAAAAAAAAGTCATTTGTTTGTTTTAAATCGATTTTGGTCGGTGATGTTTCAGGGAATCGAGAGTTGAAGCCTGTTTTTTTAATAATACAAATAACAGTCCCAGGTTTATTTGTATAAATAACAGAAATTTTCTCTCCCTTCCATTTTTTTTTATATATTTTTTTAGAATACAAATATGTTCTCAGTCAAAGAAATAATGATATTGGACCATCCAGGAAAAATGTAAAGTACAGCCGTCATAAGGTTGTATAAATACATTACTGTTATTATATATATTTTAATCTTATCTCTTCGGTCTTCGTTTCAAACGAATCCCTGGAAATTTACTTCAAACGAGAACGACGCTCTGTTTTGAATCACAACCTCTTCATTTGATTTTCCATATTGGTTTTCTTGTAGGTAGCTTTGTATAAATTAAGTAAATTAGATTATTTCTATATTAAAAGAAAATATTGCTTGATAACGAACTGTAAAACAATGGTTTGTCTTTCATCTAGTCAGCCTAAAACTCTGTAAAAATGTATATTTATTTATAGAACATTCTGGTCTATTGTGTCTATATCTACCCCGCTATATCGGAGCTCACGCCGTCTATCTTTAAATCTAGTCCTATGGAAACAAACTGACATGTTTTGATAGATAAAGAAAGTTTCCCTCACCGGCGTGAGTCTATCCTCGTAAATCTATTTCAAGCATACTTTCCATTCTTTCTTCAGCTCACGACCACTGCAACAAGATTTATTTCATTTACGGAAAACAACTCTCAGAGACTTTAAAAGTCAGAAACGGCTGAATAGAAGCTGGGTGAGGGATCACCATAAGTATTAAAATTTCCTAAGTAGTGGGCGGAATTAGTTTTTGTTTTAAAGGCAAATGAAGTATCACTGATCACTAGGGTTAACAATGACAAACTGTACTTTCGCTTAAAGAGAATTTTGTCTAGTTTACTATGGAGCAATGTTTAATTACTTAAATCAATGTTTTTTTTTAATTATCGTTTCCTATTCAACAAAACATTGACTCGCTTAAAAAAAAAAACACACAAATCTTAAATTACTTACTTTTCTGCTGAAAATTGGACAATTTTTTATATGAACTTTTTTTTTATCTTGATATCTACTATCCGTCTTGATATCTACTATCTTGATACCTTTCCGCCCACTGAGTTATTAGAAGCGTTTATGAATATTCAGAAAGACTTAGATAGGATCAGTGCCTGGGCAAGCTTGAATAATTTAAACTTAAACGCATCAAAAACTCAGGCAATTCTTATAGGTTCCAACTCCCTCCTTAGATCCATCTCCACCCTTCCTTCCTTGATTATTAATGACCAACCAATCTCCTTCTCTCCCTCTGTAAAAAACTTAGGAATTACCATTGATCAAAACCTATCATGGAAACCCCATATTGCTCATATCTCCAGAAGGTCAATTGGTACACTTAAACTATTTCATCGTTCTCGTCAGCATCTCCCACAACCTATCCGCAAGCTCCTCGTTTCCTCATTGATTTTCCCCTACTTTGACTATGGCTGTGTGGTATACGGCGGCCTCTCGTTGGAGCTTGAGGACAGACTGAAGAGAATCATGAACTGTTTTTTAAGATTCGTCTTCATCACTTCGAGATGGTCTTATGTGTCCCACCTATATGCCGAGTCAAAGTGGCTCTTCCCCTCTTCCCGCCGCCTATACTTCCTTGGAAATTTTTTATACCAAACGATCAACTAACAGCACCCTTCCTATATCTGTTGTCTCCTCCAGCCTAAACTCTTAGTCCACTCAATAAAAACGAGATCCCGTGTTTCTGACCTCTATATTCCATTCCACAGGACAAAAACCTATGAACGTTCCTTCTTAGCCCGCTCCGTCACCTAATGGAATTCTTTGCCACATAACATCCGTCATGCCACTTCACTGTCAACCTTCAAATACCTCCTTTTCCAATATCTCCTCACATCCCAAACAGACGATTCGCAACCATAAATTTCATTTCATGAACTGAATTTGTGAGAAGTAAATGGTGATGCCTACAGTTTAAGTTTCAACATAAAATAGCAATGATTTTTTACTATTATTTTTACTATTTATTTGTATTTCTCTTAACCTCAGGTTGTGCTTTTTCTTTCATGTATATATGTTTATATTTTATACTTTTTGTCTCTCTGTGTACCAATATGAGTAAGTACGTATATATAGTTCCTTTTTTACCTTTATACCACAATTATTCCTGAGATTTTATTTTATCTTAGTATTAGCTTATTATTGTATGAATCACTGTAAATATTATTACATTTTGTATTAAATTATGTTTCTATTAGATAGCCTATTGTTTATAAATTGTGCAGTTATGTATGTATAGATATGTAATTTCTTTTCTATCTTTTTTTTTTTTATCATAATAATAAGTAAATTTGGAGAAGATTGTATTTTCATTTATATATGTATATGTATGTATGTGTATTGTATATGTTTTGGCTAGATTGGTATTTTATTTTGTATTAATTCATCTTTGTTATTCTAAGGGGACTTAGTCCCAGAATAAAGTTCTATTTTCTATTCTATTCTATTCTATCTCTCCTATAAAAAAAATTGTACTCTACTTACGGGACAGCCTGTATACTGATAGAATCTATCTATTCACATAGACTTCCAATAAAAAATACTGCAGTCTAGCAAAATTATCACACCCGCATATAATGTGGTAAACGGCCTCGTCGTCCAGGCCAGGTAGATATCTCACTTAAGTCCAGATAAAAAAGGTAGCCTATTCAGTCTACAACGACCTTTTTTAAAAAATATGCGTGTTGGAGAAAATACCTGCTATTTTTGCCTCGTGTACACTCTAAAGTTGTTCTGCAACTTGCCACTTGGATTTTACGACTAGTTTGGCATAAGAAAGTTAATTTCATTTCGAATTAATATAAAAGCTATTTATTTTCAATTTATTGATAAATTTTCTTAAAATATAAATAACTCTTCCTAAGATAAAAATGACACTGTTTACAATTATCCTTTTCTACTTTCCTCGTTCTTTGGTGACTCCTTCCTTCACACTGATAAGTTAATATTTTTAAAATCTTTCATCATCATATTTTTGTGAAATCTCTGTTGTATTTGCTGATCCTATTCTTTCTCATGATTACTTTTCCATAAATATATTTTAATTATATCTTACTTCAAGATGATTTATATTATTTTATATATATAATTTCATATAAAATCGTATTGAAAATTTTATTAACAACGCCTCTATTAGGCACACGAGTAGCACGGCCTTAGAGGATGTAATCCCACATGAGCGATAAAGGCACGCAACAATGCCTTGGGGAATTTTAATCTCCCCCACAACATTCAAATGGGCAAATTTAAATTAACAAACGTTCAGTGGAGCTGAAATTAAACCCGAGCAGAAATTGAATAACTCCATCTTCTTTCTGTATAATCATAATCATACAGGCCTAAAATATGCAGAAAGCTCCTCAATTTTTTTTTATATATATTATTTTTTTTACGATGACGTGTAGTATTATATCTATAAACACTAGTCATATACAGGGTGTCTCAGTACTTAACTCAAAACTCAGAACTAGCGGTAATTCTAGGCAAAATTTTTTAATCTTTATGCTCAAGATCCAGGATTTGATAATGCTGTGGCAGGTAATTATTTATTCGTGGATCGACCTTGGGATCGGAAGACCCTGGTGGTCCACACCCAGTTTCTGAAAAGTTGGTATTCTTAATTAATTAAAGGGTAAATTTGCTGATTAAACGTGATCTCGACCCAATCATCTCCTGCCGTTGCCCTCAAAACAATACTTTCTTAAAAATTATTGTAACTCAAGCATTGATAGAGATATGGTTAGATGGCTATTTCTGGTATCTGTGCAGAGTGTTATAATAAAAAAAAAAATTAATCTACTCAAAATTATTTACCAAATTTTAATCCACATATATATCGGATATGAGATTTTCATTCAAATAATTTTTTGTTTCCTATTAGGAATTCCTTCAATATGAAGTTTTTCTCAACCAAACTCTTGCTTCAGCAAGTCTCTCCATCTCTGCCAGTCATCCCATCCTCTTCTGACAAGCCTTACTCTCCACCACTCTTTCCTTCCATCTAACTGTGGGGTCTTCCTCTCCTTCTTCTACCCTTTGCCTCTGAAACCATTATTATCTTTGGTATCCTATCGTCACCCATTCGTCTCACATGGTCGTACCATCTCAGTCTCCTTTCTTCCATCACCTCTAGGATATTCTTTTATATTTCCAATCTCTCCCTTGTTGTTACGTTTCTGACTCTTTCGATGAGTTTGGATCCAACCGTGAGATATGAGACCAATGACCTCGATCAGGCAGGCAAAGTGGAAAGGGAGAAAAAACAGACATATGAGAATACATCCCTTTCCTTAGTGAAAAGTTCCGCGAGAGTTTCGGGCCGAGAGAGTTCCACGTGAGAGGCCTTTGGTTCGGAGCTCGCGGAACGATACCAGACTCAACAAGGAGCTTCATGGAGGGCCTTGGTGTCGACATAAAGGACGTAGCAAAGTTGGCAGAGAATATAATCCTCGACTCCCAGAGAATCATCCACCACCATGTGCATGGGAGCGGATAGGGAGTTTGTTCATGGGGGGAGGCATGTATATGTTACAGCATTTTTATATTATTATTTATTGAACACGTCCACTGTAATTTATGTATTTTTATGCATTTTATGAATTAGGTTAGAAAGAGAGAGGAGAGAACATGAGGATTAGGAAAAATGTATAAGGGAAGAATAGGAAGAGAAAGGGTATAGAATGATAATAAATGAATGAAAGAAATAGTAAAAAAAATTAATAAAAAAAAGAAAAAAAACATTTTAAAAAAATAAATAATAATACATATATAAATATATTTTAAAAAAGTGTATATTATGCTCATATATACTGTTAATCCTATATAATTGTAAATTATTTTTAAAAATTGTCTGTAGTGATTAATAAGTATGCTGTGCTTTTTAGCAACCCAGTGTAATTGTGCAGCACCATTTTATGATAATAAAGTCATTCTCTCTCTAGCTTTTTTATTTTTATTAGAATACTGCTGCTCCAGAGTAAAGAATTAAACATTCCAACTGCTTGTTTACCACTTATGGCCCTTTTTTGGATATGTGTATCTGTTCTACCCATTATGGACCCCAAATAATAAAATTGTTCCACTTTACTTAAGAATACATATATATATTTATGTATAAAAAGACAGTTTTGGAGTTATTTTGGGATGCCATCAATATATTATATGACTAAGTTTAAATGTATCTGATATTTTTTTTAAGGGTACGATTTATAAGGTTGGTTGTCCCAGGGAAGGTAGGAAAGGTTTAAATTTTCCGGCGTTGCGGCGAGTGGTGGGGGCAGATTTAAAAGATGACACTTAAGCCTTATGAGCGGCTGGTTGTCTCGGACCACTTCTTGACCAGCATTCACCCAGCAAGGACCAACAGTCACGGCGGAGGGCCCTCCAGGTGAAATAGATGTAAGCTGGTATATAGACGGTAAGCAATTTATTTTGCACATTCATTAACCAACCAATCCCTTAAGATACAGTCCACCGTTTAAAATTAGAATGTTGCCTTATTGAAACTCATGAGAGTTATTTTGTCATAATTAAAAAAGTTGCCTAAACAATGGTATTATATTTTGTAATTAACTTCCTAAAAGGATAAGAATATTCCCTTGATTTAGGTCATATCTTAATAATAATAGAATGAAAAATAAATATTATCTAAATTTCATTTAAAGTATACTTATTCTAGTTATATTTGCCTGATTATTTTAAAGCTTCTATATTAAGCAGGGCTTGGCGTATCTCTGATACGACAGCCGCCGATTTGTTGCTCTATAATAGCTAATCTCAGAGGGCTGACTTACCCAAGCCAGGTAATGATAGTAAATTAGTTTTGATTTTGAAGGGATCACCTATCGGCCTAAACTTTAGCAATATTAGTTAATGAAGGGAACACAAAGGTGGAGGGGGGAGCCGGGAGAGAGAGGGGGAGGGAGTATTGTGTGTTCTCGCCGAAAGGGCACTCGAGGATAAACAGAAGCTGGAAATTAATAACCAGCTAAAACTCATTCTCAAATTACAACGTGATTCAACTAATGGATTAATTGGTAGTGGTATTAGAGAATATATTCTAGTTAATGAGGACATTCTGGTATTTTGGTTTATTATTTTCAAAAATGAACCATTGTGATCGACCAAAAAATTCCAAAACTTAACCCCCTCTCAAAATTTGAGGTTTCACGCTTCAGGATATGCAGAATTCGAAAAACGAATAAAAATTTTTTTGTCCATCAGCCGTCCGCCGTCAGCGCATTTTCTTCGAAACTACTGGACCGATTTTTTTCAAAATTGGATATAAAATCAGAGCTCACCTGAGGATGATCCTCCTTCAGCGACATTACTATCCGACTTTTACTTTCAGAAAGGCGGCCGAAAAACCTGCGTTGCTATAGACTGTAGCGCCTAAACGAATGTACCCATTTCAATGAAACTTCGCTCAAGTCATTTTCTCGACGCTCTTTAAATTTATCTATATAACATACTTCAACGAAAACAAGCTGGAAAAAAAGTTACGAGGGATGCTAAAATTTAATTCCGAATAACTCAAAAAGTATACACTTATTGTATATTGTGTTTTGAAAGTTTACGGAATTTTCTAAAAAAAATTGTCAAAATCGTCCAATTAGGAGCAAAGATATGGTCTCTAGTTTTTTTTTATATGTTCTGCTGCAAAGGTTATATCCTTTGCTTTGGTTTTTGAATTTTGAATGTGTTACTGAAGTAATGCTAACTTTTTTAACATAATACTAATGGTTAAAAAAAAGTTTAGTCCGATAATTGGAATCACCTTTTATTTATTTTTATTTGTAACTAGGAAGGTAATGTTACTTTAGATGTATAATTGTTTGGAAATAATAAACCATTATGAAATAATTTGCAGCATTTTTTTTTAATTTGATATATTATATTATTTATTCTGAGTGCGTTTGTTTTCAATATCCTGTTATAACTAAGTCATTTCTGTATAATTTTCACATATTTGAATTAATATCTTTACAAAACAAGGCAATCTAAATCGTTTGCCAAATTTTGATGTGGTATATTTTAGAATATAATACTTTTGCATATTTATCTTCCAAATATGTAACCAATAAAACCCTCCATAATGACCTTTATATCCCATTTGTTCTTGATCTAATCCCAGAAAAATTTTTCCAAATTTCATCAGAACCTCACTCATCATGCAAATCCTGTAGCACAATCCTTATCTAGCGGAGGTTAAAACGGCAGTGGCCCCGCGACCTTATGTAAATATATATCACTAGCGTATCCGAAAGGTTTTTTTTTTTTTCATAAAAATAACGATAATTAATTTGGAAAAAAAGAAAGAAACTAACTACCTATATGAAATGGTGTTTAAATGATTCATAAAGCCCTTTTAAATGTAATTACACGAACAATAATACTTTAAGAGATAATTTTTTAATATTTTATTCAATAAAACATGATTATATTTTACCATTTTGGGGGGCTTCAGCCCCAAAGCCTGCCTCCCCATATGTCCGTCCGTGATATATATATGTATGTATGGAGTACTGGCAATGGTCAGATTCTCCACGCAAGTTCTGAGCGTCTGTTGCTGCAGCGCCCTCCATCATACTTGCAATACCAGTGACGCGGCTGGGAGAGAAGCACTGGGAAGCACCTGCTTTGGATTCCACATTTGGGGGACAAAGCTTGACTCAGAGTTCTCGGTGAATGTAAATATTTTATATAGGTATGAATGTATCTTACCTACTTTAATTTCAGTTAGTTTCTATCTATATTCTATATGATTTCATTTTTTTAGTACACATGTATATTAATTTTCTTATTTTATTTTCTATATTTCTTTTTCTTTATTATATCTATTTTAGTTATTATTTGTATGTACATATTGTGTGAGGCGTAGGGAGGTGGCGGTCCCATCGCCCGATCATTGTACCGCAACCAGCCACTGGCCCTCCAGGTTGGGGGAACACTTACACGAATACTCACACACCAAGTACACTTTATACAGCACACTACAACACCTAAACACTACAGACAAAGGTCACCTACAGTACACACCCTAGGGTCACCTTCCCTAGGTAGCCGCCCCGGATGGGGGAGCTAGTCAAGATGCTCTACCTGACTCGGGGGCAGTGGGCTGATAACCCCCCTCCCCTAAAGTACCTTATTACGAAACCTCAAAGAGAAGAAGCCGGAATGAATTACGGTAACAGACCCAGGAAACGCCTAAATGACCTAAGAATTGGATTTTGGAACATTTTATCATTACATAGACTAGGAGCACTTCGTGCGCTCCTTGCAGAAGTGGACACATACAGAATCGACATAGCAGCTATCCAAGAGGTCCGATGGATAGGACAGGGAATTATGGAGAAGAAGTACCATACACTCTACTATAGCTGCCATGAAAAGCATCACATCTTCGGTACCGGATTTGTTGTGAGAGGCAGAGCTCAACAGCTAGTGATGCGATTTACTCCCATTAACCAAAGGTTATGCTACATTCGGCTTAGAGGAAAAATTTTTAATTTCTCTCTAATCAACTGCCATGCCCCAACAGAGGTGTCACCTGAGGAGGATAAGGAAACATTTTATGAAGAACTTGGACGCGTGACAGAAAGCAGCCCCAAAAATGATGTTAAAATCATTCTTGGTGACTTTAACGCCCAAATTGGTAAGGAGGCGGCACTCATGCCGACCATAGGAACCCACAGCTTGCATGAGACCAGTAATGATAATGGGCTACGGATAGTGAACTTTGCTACATTGCACGGACTGGTTGTTGGAACAACTCTTTTTCCTCGAAAGAATATCCACAAAGCAACATGGACCTCTCCAAATGGGCAAACAAGATAGACCATGTACTCATTAGTGCCCGTCACAAGTCCAACATGATAAACTAAAAGATCTTATAGAGGTGCAAATATGGACACGGATCACTATTTGAGCATTGCCGAGATCAGATCACGAATTTCGCTGATTAAAAACCACCACCAACGACCAAAGAAGAAAATTGATGTAGCTAAACTTAGGGACTACCTAACCACCAATATTTCGTCAGACCACCAAACAAGCTGTGGAGACGAAACTTAATGAAGAAGTAATTAATGACAGCTCTATGGTCGATGAACAGTGGAAGAGATGGAGCAACGCAATGAAACAGGCAGCAGAAGAATCTCTTGGCTACGAGACTAAATCTAGAAGGCCCCCATGGTTTGATGCTGAGTGCCTTCAATCAGTAAAAGTGAAAAATGAAGCCTACACAAAGAAGGTTCAGCGTCCCACAAGGCTCTCTCAAGAAACTTATCGAAGAAAAAGACGCGAAGAGAAGAGATTATTCTGCGGAAAGAGAAGAGTTTGGGAAAATAAGAACATGGAGGACACAAAGGTATTGCGTGGCCAAAATGAAAGTCGGCTGTTCTTTCAGAGAATAA